TCTATAACAGTAAATTTCGGTGTACAGAATCGACGAAACTGTTCAGATTGGTTGGGAGCAAATAAATTTCAAAAGTTAGCCTATGCATAGCGTGAAATTAAAATAGCTACTTTGTTTGCACGGAGCTACTCAATTCTTACATTCCTACCTTGGTAGATTTCGAAATCATTTACGCCATCTTCTCGGTGGAAGATTTATTCGCAACACTGCAGCTTTATTTTCCAATGTTGCAAGCCTATGGCTATTCTATCGCTATTTCCATAGCAAATGTTCAGATGAGATCCATTTTCTAGTCCCACCAGAACTGATCTTGCCACTTCCACATAGTCGAATCAAATTTATTTTCTGAGTTGTTACAAATGTAAGGAGAAAGTTTCATCGAGACAGCTTTTTCCGAAAAAAGGACATTTTGTGGAATAAATTTACGCATTGGTCCTTCCCTGAGCACTTTGATCCTAATCTCTAATAAGTCATGAGTCAATCGTTATCTATCCTCCTCATCCTCCTTATCCTCACTTCCTACCACCTCCTCTTTCATTCATATCACGCACCTCATTCATAATAACCATTTCAACAGTAACCTTCTGCATGATAATCTTTTGACAGTAATCATCTAACTTGACCCGATTTTGTGCTTTGTATTGGGTTAAATTTGTAAAAAAAAATAAAAAATAAAACATCCGGACAATTTTTAATTCAACATATGGACCATTCTTCTGTGGTGCATGAAACAGATTGTCACCGCTTTGTGTTGACCTATATGCTCACTAATTCATAGGAAAACATTTATGTTAGACGTTGATGCAACTGATATACAAAGAAAATTATATATGGTTAACCCATATCCTTCAAATCTACAAATCAACCATTCGTCCTTGCATTGAATATTGCTGCAATATATGGTCTGGTGCCACCGCTGTTCATCTCGACAAAATCCAGAGACGGATATGCAGTGTGATAGGTCCTGATCTGGCATCTCATCTACAGTCATTTTCGCTACAAGTATTTTCATTGTAACTGGTCTGACGAGTTACTTTCACTGATTCCCAATCTGTATGAATTTAAGTGTGTTACTAGGTTGGCACCTCGGTTCCAACAGCTTCTTATCTCGCACTTCCCGACAGTGGAGCTCCTTTCCTCTTACTAACTATAATCTTCAAATATTCAAATGTAATGTCGATCGACATCTTCAGATAACTTGATCTTGATCCCTGTCCTCTCTACACTTTCTCTCATTATCTGCAACCCCTTGAGTACTAGTGGAACTCCCGCCTTGCCTGGCGTAATATGCTTAAGTTATATATATATATATATATATATATATATATAAGCAAGTGTAAATGGATATAAATCCGACAGAATGAAGATATAATGACAAAATGTATATATATATATATATATATATATATATATATACATTTCACCCAAGCAAGGCGGGAAGCCACTAGCAGGCAAGGGGTTACAGAGAGTTGGAGCGAGGGCAAAGAGGAGTGATAGAGGAAAGGATGAAGAGAAGGATAGGGGATAGATCAGAGCATCTGGAGATGTCGATTGACATTACATTTGAATAGTTGGAGATTATAGCTATCAGGGAAACAAGAAATGGTGAGGGAGCTCCACATGCGAGAAGTGAGAGACATGAAGCTATTGGAGTAGAAGAGACGGCTACATTTAACAGTTTCGACAGTGAAAGTGTGAGAGCGCGATGCCAGCCTAGTTGAACGCTTAAATTCATGTAGCCTGAGAACCAGCGAAAGCAGCTCATCGTAGCAGTTACCATGAAAATATTTGTAAAAATGACAGAGGGAAGCAACGGTACGTCTGTGAGAGAGCGACTGCAGACGAGATGCCAGATCAGAGCCAATTACTTTGCATATCCGTCTCTGGGTTTTATAAAGGACCTTTGAGACAAACAGAAGAGGCACCAGACTATATATGGCAGCAATACTCCATGCAAGGGCGAATGGTTGATTTGTAGATTTGAAAGATCGGCCCCGGCGAGAAAAATTTCCTGGCGCGGCACAGGGAGCCAACTTTCTTAGCGGTGGACAAAGCTATTGATTCATTGTATTTGTTCTATCGCAGGTCAGCAGACAATGTGAGACCGAGCAGTCGCAAGGAGGTGCTCTCGTGGAGTTGAGCGTCATCCATTTTAATGGGAGGGATGGGGATGGTTCTCTGTTTGGTGAATAATCCAGATTTGAGGTCAGTTTTGTTTTATATAGGCATTAAATATTAACCAGCCAATTCCTAATATTTCATACCCCATCATTGGTCCATTTAACCGATTTTGAGGTGGGTACACATGAATTACGCCCTCTAATAGGTTGACTTGTCACCTGTTAAAACTCTCATATCGACAACCACATCACGGACAATTCAAATGCAAGTATCAAAAATATTGGTTTGTTTATTTATTTACTTGAATGAATTTAGGTCAATTTATTTTACTTGTATATTTTCTCTTTTCTGTTTTCGATTTTTAAGTAACGTAGTATTTATTTATTTATTTTTTATTTTTATTTTATTTTTATTTTTTATTTTATTTTATTTTATTTAAAAAAAATTTTTTTTATCGTTATATAACAGTTATAGCTATTTTTTCGTCCGATTTTTTGGTTTGATTTTTTAGACTAACTAATATTTTGGTCATAATGGTTTGCTGTTTTGTTTATTATTTACTTTATTTATTTGGGTTCGTTGTTTTTTGTTTTGTTTTTGTTATTATTATTATTATTTTATTTCGTCTATTCTAACAGGTGTGATTTGGTAATTTGTTTGAATTAATTAATTTTGCTTATTTTATTGTTGTTTTGTTTACTTGTTTATTTATTTGTTTTTATTTTATTTTTCCGTTTTCAATTTTTAAGTAACGTAGTAAAAATTTGTTTTCATGTCTGCATTTTGAGATGAGCTCGGATCTTTTATTTAATAATTTATTTTGTTCTGGGAAAGTAATGATAGCTATTAGTAAAATAAATTGACCTAAATTCATTCAAGTAAATAAATAAACCAATCCCGATAAAGTTACCGTTAGAAAAAACAAATAAAGATAATCAACCCAAATAAACACAAATTAAAAACTGTTCCTGCCAAAATAATAGCTAGAATAAACTACAATAACCAACCCCAAAACCGAACAAGTAGCTTTAATTAAATTCTCAAACAAAAACAAAAACTATTAAATAAGTGATATAAACAAATTTTTATTACGTTAATAAAAACACCGATTAAAAAATAAGTAAATAAATAAATAAAATAAGATACAAAAAATAAAATTAAATAAAAACAAGAAAAATAATTTAACCCAAATAAATAAATAAACGACTTGCGGTAAAATAACCGCCATAATAGACTACCCACAATGCACCAATAGCCGAGAAAAATAACAGCACACGTGGCCTGACGATTGCATATAGCATGAAACAGACTGTCGCCTCTAATTGTTGACTTCTATGTTCACTTTTATATATATATATATATATATATATATATGGTAAAATGTAAGAACATTGGCATAAATCATTTTCCCACATCCGTAACATAGCTCCCCTGTTTTGTTTTTTTTTTTGTTTTGTTTTTATAAATATTCTCATGGTAATTGTTCTGATGGGATTTCCTCTTTGATACGCCGCCTTTACGATTTCAAGTTCATTACCACATCGGCAGCGAGATTTCATCATCGAAAGGTTGAAATTCTCCATTCTCTCTTTTCTCATTACGTGTCCCAAAAACTTCAGCTGTCTCTTCCTGATGTTAGGTATAAGACTCCTCCTTGTTTGCATCCTCCCATCGTTGCTCACACGCTCAGTCCATGATATCCTCATCATCCTTCTGTAGAGCCACACCTCCGTCGCCTTGTGTCTCTTCTTCATCTTTAAGGAGACCGTCCAACATTCGCTGTCGTAAAGAAGGACAGATGTCACGTAACAGCACAGAACTCTTTTCTTTATTACCAAAGAGTTCCTCCTATCTCGCAATACTCTGCCCAGCTTTTGGAATGCGTCCTTGACCATCCCAATACGTCTACGGATCACAGTGTCGCACTCTGTTGAAACACTTCCCATATATTTAAATTTCCGCACCTGCTTGATTCTAGTGTTCTCGACCCGTAAATCGCATTTCGGGCTCATCTTTTTACTGCTGATCACGTATTCTGTCTTGTTGTAGATTATGCTTAGTCCCTTCTTCTCACTCTCCGTCGCTACCTTCCGTAGGAGGTTATCTAATTTCTTTTCTGTGTCTGCTATCTGCACTGTGTCATCTGTGTATCTAATGTTGTTAAGACTGTGGCCACCAATGCTAAATCCTGGTAGGGTTTCCAATTCTCTCATAATTCTCTCGCTGACTATCTTATCTAACCATTAAACCATTCTAAGGGGTGTACACATACATACATACAGATATATATATATAATTCGAAATAAAGTGAGGAAATGAGACAAAATGGCTAAAATAAAAAAGACAATACAAATTTTTCCACTTTCTCTCATATCTATATATATATATATATATATATATATATATATATATATATATATATAGTACAGGGGGTTGAGGAAAGAGTAAAAGATGAACGGGGTTCAGGTTAATCAAAGATGGTAGTTGACGTTGCATTTAAATTTTTGAAGGGAAGCAAGTAAATGGAAAATATTTTCAAAAGCGGGAAGGCGGGAAGTGCTAGAAAAGAAACTGTTGGAGTAGAAGTGGCAGTTAAATTTGACTATTTCAACAGTAAGGGACCTAGGTGCCAATCTAGTAGCACGCTAGATGTCGGAGATCCAGGGTAAAATGCTGGTCAGAGTAGTTGCCATGAAATATTTATAGAAAAGACAGACGGAAGCCACATCACGTCTGTGAGAAAGTGACTGAAGTCAAGATGGTTGGTCAGGATCGATAACATTACAGATGCTTCTTTGGATTTTGTCAAGAACCTCGAGATGTACAGCAGGGGCACCAAACCAGATATAGCAGTTGTATTCAATGCACGGATCAATGGT